GTACTTGATGGATAGCTGCGTTAAGAAAAAATTCTCTTTTTAATATATGTATTGACGATCGTGACTGACTGACTGACGCTAATTCAAGAAAGGGAAACGTATAAGGCTGAAACTGGATGGCATGGAGTTCCCTGAGTCTCCATTTCAGAAGAAAACAATTTTTTTGCTAAAACCCATCAGGGCTCAAGTCCCATTTCCTGATTTTTTTCTAACAAAACACATACAGAAAATTTAAACTTCCCTCATAAGTACCAGTTTAATGGCTGAGTTCAGGAAAAATCCTGTTTTTGAAATATGTCTCCTTAGCGTAGATTAGTGGAGGGAAGTATTTCTAAATGTATTCTCCACCCTTACTAAAAGGGACACAAGAAAATATTTAAACTTAGGCACACATGGAATCATAGAAGTAAAGAGTTTGATAAAAGTGAAGCCTTTTGACCCCATATGTCACGTATTTCAATGGGGACTTATTCAAATACGTGTTTCCCATTTCGCAAAAAATGAATGAATGAATCACTATCCAAGGTAATGGAGCGCCGAAGGCGCTAACATTGGGCACGAAGGCGCGAGTTTGTTTTCCCGAAAGGCAAAAAATCTCGCTAGTACAGGTATACAGTGTCATCAGGTTTCCTCCATCAAGTTGCGCAAAAATCGCGCGACGTGACTCGGACACTGTTCAGTGAGCAACGAGAGCAACGTATGTACTTTGTAAATACATAAAAAAAAGTTTTGACTGCATAATGGAATACAATAGTTTTTAAGAAATTGACAATTATGAGCAAAAGCACCGGGTAGTAATAGAAACTCAGGCATAGATTGCAACTAGGAAGAAATTCTGACATACGCGTTATATCTAAGGGGTACATTTCAGCGCACTATCGGATTTCGTTCTAGGTCTAACAACCGACACAACAGTTAAACTTGGCTACAACGGGATCACTAATCTTGTCGAGGAAATCTTCCGACCTTTACTTGAAGTCATTTCGCTGGGAGATGGAGTCCTTCATCTTGAGGGTGAGTTAATATATTCCCAATCTAAATTGAATAAGTGAGAAGAATAATTATCCTTCCTTGGCATTCTTACTGATCACTGTATTTGAATTTCCTTCTTTCCAGGTAATCCTCTCCATTGCGGTTGCAGTTTTCTTTGGTTACCATTCTCTTATGAATTACTTTTAGACCTCCGAGGGAAATGTGAGGATGGAGGTGACTTGAAGCATCTAGGTCAAAGACTAGCCTCAAAACATTGTCAACGATGTCCTTACGAATGTGTCTCTGCAGAGCAGAAGCCTTATTGCGTATCAGGATCAGTAATTCCTGCGGACGAAAGTATCTGTCAGACAGGGAAATTGTGTTGTCAATTAGAGACGACAATATCTACGAAACCTCCAGACAAGGTAACGTTAACATCAACAAGAGCGCCGACGACAGAAGCAACAACGACAAAAACACCGACCACAAGGGTAACAACGACAAAAACAACAACGATAAGAGCAACAACGACAAGAGCAACAACGACAAGAGCAACAACGAGAAAAGTTTCAACAAGCGCAACGATCAAAGCAACAACAACAACTCCACAAACAATAAGAACACTAATAATGAAAGCACCAGCGACAGAAGCACCAACCACTACAGCTGCAACGACGACGATAGTAGTAACAAATACGCAAAGTCAATTGTGTCCCACCTCCCTCGGTTTTACATGCGTAGAAGAAAAGTTCCAGGACCTTTGCCATGAAGGCACTGTCATACCACGCCATACCTGCCCTGCCAACACTCAAGTCTGTTGCCGGGTATCCATCGCCGGAAGCCTTGTGACCCCTCCCAGTCTCATCCAGAATGAAGCGTGCCCATCTACCTATGTCTGCCTTGAACCTAAACCAGCTAATGACTTGTGCTTTCCGGGAACGGAAATTCAAAATGCAGAATGTCATGGAAATCGAATCTGCTGCTTCATTCAAACCTCCTCCTCGACACCTTCTCCATTGATGCCTTGTCTTGAGCAATGCGTCACCGAAGCCAAGATGGATTCCTGTGTGCCTGAGACAATCAAAATCCAAACGAAATGCAAAGAAATGGGAGGTATCTGTTGTAAAGTAAGTACTGTACTCGACAAAAACAGATCAGAATATTCTTCAGCGACTGATGACGCTCTCAATTGTGACCATCCTATCGGTATTTGCATGAAAACGAATCTGTGGAATAGGTGCCTGGAGAACGATCTGACGGATTTGACTGACCGTTTTCGATGCCCCAAGGATCTCAATTGTTGTGCCTTAAAGACTGAAATCGAGAAAGTGCAACACAAAGTGATCAACTTTGGGGGTATTACAGCAACGACGAATGCAAAGACGACTAGACCAACATTCACAAGAGTAACAACGTCAAATGCAGGAAACCACTTATGTCCTGCTTCCAGTGGGCATTCTTGCATAGAGAAAACCTATGAGATGTTTTGCACGGAAGGGACTGCCATCGGTAACGTCTGTCCCAAAGATACTCACATCTGTTGCCATATCCCTACTATTGCCATTCCGGAACATATGCCGAATCCAGTGTGCCCGTCAGTCCATGCCTGCCTTGATCCTAGCCTTAAGTATTTGTGCCAAAAGGGATCTGAAATTCAGCAGACATCATGCCACGGAAATCGTATCTGCTGCATCATCGAATCTACTTCTACGAAGCCTCCTCCTTCGTCACCTTGCAGCGAAAAATGCGTGATGAAGGCTGAGATCGATTCGTGTGTGCCTGGGACTATCAACGATGGAACAAAGTGCAGCGAACAAGGGAAAACTTGTTGCAAGGAAAAGACAGCATCCTATGGAAAACACCCAGGATATTTATCGTCCATAGACGCGCCAAGTTGCGAAGTCTCCAATGGCCGTTGCATGTCACCTTATCTATCTATTCTATGCAGATCTGGCGGTCACAGGGATTTTACAGAGCTATTCCAATGCTCGCAGAATCTTCGTTGTTGTGCCTCGAAGGCAGAAATTACAAAAAGGCAACTAGAAGTGGACTCGCATGGAGGTATGTATGCATTTCCGGTACGATTACTAAAGACAAACGTATTCGCTCGAAAGTTACATATACAGGGTGTCCCAAAAATGTACCAATATTTTATTAACTGCATAGCTAAAGGAAATAAAATCACATGTTAGCATTACATATTTATTTTACTTAATACAATCTTTTTATCTCTTCATGCACTTTTGGTTCACAGGAGATGCTCAAATTGACATCCACAAACAGTTAAACATTTAAATGACAATAAAGACAAAATTATAACGACTGAGTGGGTACATATTTGGGGGCAGCCTGTATACTGAATGGGGAACCAGTCGTTTGTAAGGAGTATGTCTACGGAACCTAAATATTCCAACCAGTAAGAAAGCCACTTCTCATTTCATGTATACGTCAGGTGATTCTTGTGAAATGCGAGACTAGCATTGAAGTATGTATTTTAAAATTACTTATTGCAGTTATAAAAGCTAACGTTTATCTATCTACCTATCCACCGGAGGGCAGGATAGGTCGATTTTTTTTTTAACCAGACCCGATTCGCCTGATCAGAATCACGACCGAATCGACTCGAAACTCGATGACGTACCGAGCGTTACAGGCTCGAGACACGGATCGTGTCAGGGCGATCGGGCTGACCCTCAGCTCACTTACGTCTCTAAGCTTCACAACTCAAGGTTTTTACGTTTTCGCCCACACCCGACCGGAAAATGTGAACGTTGTGGTTCTTAGGAGTGATATGAAACATAAATCACAGAAGGGGAGTCATTTAAATACCATTGGACGGAACTCCTTGAAAATTTGCACTCAGGGAAGGGTGAGGATGGGGGGTGGGATGATGGGATGCACTAATATTGTTAATCCGAAATATGTCTATACAACAACTTTCCGAAAATTAGCGCTCATGGTAAACGTGAGGATGGGGGGAAACACCTAATATCATTGATCCGAAATATGACTATGCAACGTATTTCGATGACGCCATAAATTCCGTGATAAGATGAACGCTAGCTTATGGCATACGTAGCCCTTTGCTTGTTTCACATGCTTCAAATACCTGCATAATATTTCCATGGAGTGAGCTGCTTGAATGAGTGATCACATCCGACACAGTCTTACGCTCTCCAATCCAACAATATCCCTGGATCTACCGCAACAATAGTCGTGTGAGTAAAGACAAAAAGAAGCTCTCTCCGGCAGTCATCGTTTTTCTCATTCAATTCAGCATTTCCAACCCGTCGTGTTTAGCGTCCATCTTTTTACGACACTATGCACATAAAACTGCATGAAAACCCATAGACAGAACTACTGCAAGCGGAGACACAGCGAATACATACGTCTTTATGGTTAATCAATTTTCTCATCAAAGAAGAGAGGCTTGGAAGAGAGACTTGTTCTCATGACAGTTGCATTGAATCGCCCGCGTCGCGGGCAGGTGAGAGACAAATGCACGTGAAGGCCCGAATGACAAGGGCAAGGCGCCACTTCTGATCCTGGCTTCCGACAGCTCGTGCACGTGTGTCCCTCTGCCTCTTTCATAGCCTCCTTTGTTGACATCGAAAATTCTCCCTCTACTGACTCACCTTCGAGATGAATTTTTGAAAATGTAGCGGCCTGGGAACCGTAAACTTAATGTGCATGTCCGACGGCTGATCGAAATAATCTTGAACTAATTCTCTCAACTCAAGCTAATTCTTCAAACGGGTGGATACCCTTATGAAAATTTCACACTATTTAGCACGTGTTTATTGAATGTGGACGGGCGTTGGAAAGGTGTTGGAGGGTGTCGCTAGGAGGTGGGAAGGGTTGTAGCACGAAGGTCGATAATGTGGCAGAGGAGTGGGGAGGCTGGGTGTTGGAAGTGTAGTAAAGGCAGGAAGATTAGGATTGATTAATTAATACCAACAAATCATCACACAGCATTCTGGCCAGTCTTGAGAGCAGATACTCGTGACATTGTCCCTGGGCCCAAAACGATGAGGTTGTCATCAGGAAGCTTCACGATTACCTATAGGTATAGTAATAGGAATGAAGATACCTATCAAAATATGCCTCACGATGGATATAAATTGTTCTTGCATACGTAACCTAGAAAATTATAGAACAATCGCCTGATACATATGATATTAACCATGCAATTAGTTCTCAAGTAATAGGTTCATGCATGCGAGCCTCTGTCGCATTCCCATTCTTCCTAGGACTCGAATTGAATCAGAAAAGGATGGACTATAGTAGCTCAGCCTCGGGTTCAGGATACCGGGTGATTTTCTCCATTCCGACCGTGGATACTCCATCGCTCCGTTTTTGGGGAATTGTATATTGACGCCAATTTACGTGTCTACTTTTTAATCAGTTCTCCCGACATCTAGCCTGACGAACGAGACCTGCTGGATCGAAGGCAGCTCCACGATTTCCAACTCAAGCCTTCGGCAACATTGCTGGAATGCTGTCCTGGTGGATCCAAGGGATAAGATGCTCTGCGGCGGGGCCCTCATCGAGCGTCAGTTAGTTGTCACCACCGCCTCCTGCTTCTTCTTCCACCAGTAAATTTTCATGTTTATATCCATCACGATTGCAAAAACATTAATTTGTAATAGCGTCAAAATCACTTAATTTTTTTCACGCTAGACAGTATAAGATCGAACAGCTGGCGATAAGATTTGCTGGGAGTTCGGTGCGACACGGAATCGTGACGGACTTCTTGCACCGAAGATTTCGGGAAGAAACGCTCGAAAACGACTTGGGGATGATCATCCTCGAGAAGTCAGTGAAGGCGGAGGAAAAGGCGTGCCTGATGTGCACTCAAGATGCCTACAGCGTTCAGGAGTTCTCGGAGTGTATGCTCATCAGTCACTTTGGAGGTGAGGCGACTGTCGTTACCGTCATGCCATGTAGGGGTGACGGGGTGACGTGAAGTCTTCTGCGTTGCAGTTCGGGGGACAGCGGCGACGGAGCCCGTTGAATATGCGGCGTCGATCGTAGATATGAGCGTGTGCCAAGAGAAGATCCTTGAGGGAAGTGGCCTGCCTTTCAATTCCGTGTGCGTCGCCTTCTCCTCCATCTGGTGCGGGGAATCCGGCGCCCCCCTCATCTGCAAGGACGCCAGCTCTGGCTTCTATAGGGCAAGTGCCTCTTCTATCCTCTCAGGCTCGAGCGTCCCTGGTATAAACCGGAATGTGGGATTTTCAGCTGGCAGGCCTCTTGTCCATCCCGATCCAGCAATGCCAGCCGGCGGACGTGCCCGGCGTCTTCGCCAACGCCACTTCCTCGCTCTCGACCAGCTTCTACGAGACGACATTCACGGCCAGTCTTATCCTCATGAAGAGTCCCACGACTGTGAAGGAAAGTCCCAAGACAAGTGAGTACGTAGGGGTGCCTACGGGTACATAATTCTAGCAAAAGTGGTCTAGTTGCAATCTTTTTCATCAGCCAGAATATTTCTATAATTATTTATTTTATGTTTCCTTTGGTACCTTTGGATTTCAAGCGATTTCATGGCACTACTTGTATACACTGCTTTACCGAGAATCATGCATATTTGCGTGCCATATTAATGCTTATGAAACATACTAGCGAGTTTGTTTGGCTTTCGGGCATGCAAACTTGCTTTTGTCGTGCCTTTGGTGCTTCATTTTACAGACTAGCGATTAATTAATTAATTAATTTTCAAAGTTGCAAAAACTTATTAAAAATATGTGCCTGTCGAAATGTGTGCCAAGAGAGAACTAACCGATATTTTAATCTAAACACTACTCTGATTATTTCACACGTGCCTAACTTCAAATCTCTTCATATTATGCCCTGAGTGGTTATTTTGAAAAAGTAGGACATGAACTCAGAAATCGACCAGGTACTACTGCTCCAAGTTTGAACTATTAGCATCTTTAGTTCTCTCTTTCATTGAATGAGAAAGATTCCGGAAAATGCGACTTTTCCAAAAAAAACTCCATCAGGGGTTTTCCCTCAGAACTAAAATGAAACTAAAATTGAGCTAAAATCAATATTCAGAGAACTACGTGCCTAGAAATTTTCAGTTTTATCCATGGGCTCTTTTTGCTGGTGCAAAAATATCTTTGGAAAAGCCGATGCAGCTGAAAGATGTGCCGAAAATTGCCAACATTTCAAAATCATACCATTCCATGGAATTTGTACTGCTCTTTCCACTGAGTGCAAAATCTTTTAGGTAATTACAGCCTTTTGGACTTTTTATGAATGGAATCGATAAGAAAAGCCCACTTGTGTCTGCACGACTCGGTAATGCAAATTGCCGAGATTTCTCGACGACTGAAGGTGCCGGATTAGACCGTTAGGAAAGCGATGAAGCGCTACGAGGAGCTCGGTACATCGTCTGATCGCCCTCGCACTGCGACTGACGCTGCGCATCGAAAAAATGTCTGTCAACGGTTCGAGAGGAATCCGTGTCGAGAGGAACCACCGAATGCGGATCAAAATTATTATTACACATTACGCACATCAGGATTTTTCTGAAATACCCTCTAAAAGATAGCCATCAACTATAGACCCACGTGCCATGCATGTATAAACCTCAGAGATGATAGTCATAAAACCATCGCAATGTCGACACGTTCAGGTCAATGTGAGTATGGAAGCAGTCTTTGAAAGAAAGAGAACTTCTCCCCTTGCCATATAACAGATCTGGCTTTTAAGCATTGAAATTTGGCATGCAAAGAACTCCAAGCATGCCCCAGCTTATCCATAACCTCAATGCATGGTAATTCTAATTAACCCTAGAAGTGCCAACCGTCGGTAAAATCGACAATGGTCCTTCTTCTGGCAGTTTTAGGGTTAAAACAATTTATTTGACAACTTCATAACTCTAATAATTCAATATTGGCAGAGTTCTTTGATGCAGTACTTATCCTCACATGCAGGCGAAGACGAGATCGGGTGCGGACAACTCTCGAGTATCGAACACGGACATTTTAAGATATCCTGTTTTGGCGGAGCAGAGAGGTGAGGAACCGAACCGGAACTAATAAGTTCGAGTTGTATCCTATTGCCTCCATAAAATTAGTCCAATAACTTTTGCAGGATAGGTACGACGGACAGTCGACTTGAAGAGATTCAGGGCAGCAAAGAATATGATTGCATCCGAGACGGGAAGTACGTGCTTGGAAGCACTGTGACGTACAAGTGCAACCAATTTTACATTTTGAGGGGATCGAGCGTTCGGACCTGCAGGAGGGGCGAACAGTGGACAGGTCACATTCCGTTCTGCGAGGCCGGTCTGGCATTTCTTACTCGATTATGGGATTTAAACCATTGTTCTGCAACAGATGTTTTTTTATTTACCTAGAATGCGGGAGGAAGTTGCAGCATGTGAAGCTGTCAGCGGGGGGGAAGCCAGCGCCGAAAGGGGAGTGGCCATGGCAGGCGGCCATCTACGACAGAGAGAAGCGAGACCTCATTTGCGGAGGGGCGCTCATCGCAGAGCGATGGGTGCTGACGGCGGCGCATTGCATCACTGTTGACGGGACGACGAGAGCACGGGACGCAAGCAAATTTTTCGTCTACTTGGGGAAATACTATCGGAATGACTCCTTGGACAACGAATACGTACAGCGGAGATTGGTAATTTAAAACTAATCCAGCAGTTCGGGCATTGCAGCCCTTTCCATAAGCCCTATAGGGAACCAATATATTAATACTTTTCCTATATACTTTCCTATGGGTTTTTAAAACATGGAAAACCAATTGGATCATAATAAGGTCCTTTAGGACTCCTGCCTATAGGATTCGTAGAGGTTTTTTTGAGTTTCAAAAGCTTTGGATTTGAACCTTGATTACTACTAAATAGTGTAACGGGCACGGGGCGTAGTGGATTGGATTTATGAAAATATCAAATATTAATTAAGTTAAAGTAAAACCTATTCCTTAACACGCCCCGATTCCACTACAATGATTTCTCTTCCAGGAAATCAGGTCCGGGGCAATTCAAGTTCGAGCGGGAGTAACTAAGGCGTAATTCAAGAAAACAAAGTGTTTTTCCAAAAAAACTAATAATAAAAAAGGCAATAGAAACGTTGGCCAAACAACCGGTCCAATCCATTTATAGTACTTTTAATGACAATGGGCTGATCTTCGCTTCCAGATAAAACCTTGCAAGTTCTGGGGAAAACTCACGACCACGAAACAAAAAGATTCTCTAAATATAACATTATTCCTCTGTATGTTTTTGAGAGAGAAAGGTGGCCAGTTTCAGAGCACCCACGATCAAAAGGACCCGAGTAACCCGGTCAAATCGATACTAGGTCGAGTTCTTCGAGTTCGAGTTCAAGCTCTTCAATCACCTCGGAGTGAGGGATCGAAGGAGGGATCTTCAGCTGAAATCTTGCTGGATTGGAGGATAGGTTTGGAGATTAGACTTGATTGGAGGGACTTTGTACCCATTCACATATTGATATTATGGCTCGTACGAGGGATTTCTCAAAATTTCTGCCAGTAGCCCACAAGTTGTCATCGGAGGCGGCCGCGAAGTGCTACTTTGGAGTTACTGGCAGAACTTTTGAGAAATCCCTCGTATAATGTTTGGGTAGCACATTCGAGAAGAAAAAGAGAAGAAAAGATCCTGCATTTAAAGTGTAAGGAGGCTTTCCACAGGTTGGCTGACCCCAAACACTGGGTTCACCTTCATATTCATGGATCTCCACGTGTTAATGGATGTTTCAGTTCACCTCCTTCAGCTTCCTCCCCGTCTTGACTCTCTACTGATACACTGGACGTTGTGCGGTCATAGGCTGACATACGCTACAATAGGTTGTCTACCGGGGTCAATATTGGGTAGATATTGCCGTTGCAATTTCCTCTACAGTATATTTATAACCCAGATGTTTTCACACCATTGGAATATACATACAGGGCGTTTCATTTAAATTGTACATTTTTCAACGCTCATATCTCTGAGAAGACGCAACCGTTCTTTACGAAATTTGACCACAATATAGAGCAACCTTTGCCAAATTATTGGACAGAGTTTCTTCATCGCAGCGCAATCTATTGAGTTGAAACACCGATTCTGACAAAACCTCTGAAACCAAGATCTTATCAACTTGATGAAATCTTTTCAAGCTCATCATTCGTTAGATAATGCCTTGATCCAGTGGTGCTAAACATTTCATGATTGCATCTTATCTCCTTACTAAGATATCAATCGTCAAATCTTAGCCACTTAACTCATCCGCTTACACTTAATACTCTCAATGCCATGGATTTTTCCGATGTTTTGGCCTGAGCCCCTGTTACCACCGCCCTGACGCATGAGGCCCACAGCGCAAGGCTATAACTTTTTTGGCCAGAATGCACAAGGTCGTCGAAATGAAGGTTTGGTAAACATATGGGTCAAAGCATTTTGCAATATGGGATAATGTTACCGTGACTTTGCCACCAAGTCAGCGAGATACCATGGCTAGTCACTACACCAAAAAGGAGAAAATCGAAATTTTAGAGCAATATCTCTTGAACAAAAAATCTCCCAGCGAGACCTCAAGAACTTTGAGGGCAATCTGGAATCTGCCAAGGCGTGTTGCAATCAGTCGGTCTGTGTTTGCAAACATTTACCGAAACTTTCGAACATTCGGATCCCTACTCCATCCAAGGTCGCGCACGCCAACAGTGTGAACCCCAGAAAATATTCAGAGGGTGCAAGAGGCTGCACAGTTGCACACAGAGGCCAACCGGAATGCCGGGTCTGAGAGAATCGGGCTTGAGCTCGGGATATCCAAAACATCAGCGTGGAGGATACTCAAGAAGGATCTGAAGTTCAAACCCTATCATTTAAAGCTTCTTCATTAACTTAATTAGGATGACTTTGACCGTCGGGTCGAATTTTCAGAACTCTTTCTTGAAAGTGACCAGGCTGATCCCTCATGGAAAGACAACATTCTTTGGAGTGATGAGGCGATATTCAGCCTGGCTGAAACGGTCAACCGCCACAATTGTGTTTATTGNCTCGCTGACTTGGTGGCAAAGTCACGGTAACATTATCCCATATTGCAAAATGCTTTGACCCATATGTTTACCAAACCTTCATTTCGACGACCTTGTGCATTCTGGCCAAAAAAGTTATAGCCTTGCGCTGTGGGCCTCATGCGTCAGGGCGGTGGTAACAGGGGCTCAGGCCAAAACATCGGAAAAATCCATGGCATTGAGAGTATTAAGTGTAAGCGGATGAGTTAAGTGGCTAAGATTTGACGATTGATATCTTAGTAAGGAGATGAGATACAATCATGAAATGTTCAGCACCACTGGATCAAGGCATTATCTAACGAATGATGAGTTTGAAAAGATTTCATCAAGTTGATAAGATCTTGGTTTCAGAGGTTTTGTCAGAATCGGTGTTTCAACTCAATAGATTGCGCTGCGATTAAAAAACTCTGTCCAATAATTTGGCAAAGGTTGCTCTATATTGTGTTGAAATTTCGTAAAGAACGGTTGCGTCCTCTCAGAGATATGAGCGTTCAAAGATGTACAATATAAATGAAACGCCCTGTATATTGGATTCCCAGAGGATTTCTACTGGTCTCCCCGTTGGAAATTGTGTCCTATAGGACTTATGCGATTCCTATAGGAGCCTTTTAAATTCTATAGGATTTCTAATGTTTACATTCCAATAGGAGACTTACGCTGGTCCTATGAGAAGTCTATATGATACTATACGATTCCTACAGGAATATAATGGACTCCGCATAGGAATGTATGCTTCTCTATAGGAACCCTACAGGTTCTATAGGTAACCTATAAGATTCCTATGTATTCCTATGGGAAGCCTAAATACCCTATCGGAAACCAATAGGAATCTTGCGTGTTCCTATTGGATTCCTATATACAGGATAGTCGACAGGTCATCGTACCTTTTCATGTATTTTCTACCTTTTCATGTATTTTCATATACAGTATTCCGTGAATCTAATATATTTAAATATATAAACGATTGTGACAGACTGAGTGACTGACTAACACTAATTCTAACCATGTTCTAAGACGCTGAGTTCAGGAAAGATGTTAAGTTTTGGATACATGCCCCGGGAAAGTTGCTTTTTCCGGGAACTTTTCTGATTCAATGAAGGAGAGAACTAAAGAAAGTTGAAATTTTCAGCAAAATACCTGTTCGATTGCTGAGTACATGTCCTACTATTCAAATATGACCAATCAGGGAAGATTATGAAGAGATTTGAAGTTAGGCACACAAGAAACAATGTGAGCAATTATTCCGATGAAAATCGGAACGATTCCAGGCACAATTTGGAAAGCCACTTCCGCGTGAAGTTGTTTGGGTGAATGTGCAAAGGAGGCGGCAAATGTGGCACACGTGTCCACTCGAGTTATCGGCCGACCGCTGTGCGGGCGGAGGTGGCTTTCCAAGTCGTGCCTGGAACGCTGCCCTCACATATCCAGTGTGCTGTCTTTCATGCACCCACACACTCGCTGCTAATCGTTCCTCAATGGTGTAGCTACTGGTGTCCGCCTTAGTTAACCGCCATAGCTGAATTCTGCTGAGTTGTCGCAGAAGTCACCTAGTCGGTAGCGCAAGATCCGTTTCGCGCCAGGCCCACGCGCCTTTGTGTTGAGCGGGCATGTGAGATGTTCACACGGGTATTTCTATATCTCTGTTCACGAAATATATGAAGATATATGGAAATGTAGATATTGATACGGTGACTTTTCGGCCACCCTCTACATTCATATTCGATTCATATAGGGCTCTTTCGTAATGGGAATGACGAATTGTATGAACTTATGCGATACAATGAAAATATTATTTGCATGCGAAATGATCTTATCGTTAATGATATTTTACACGATTAGAATGATGTATCGTTGCCTCGTGCTCAATATATTAATAGATGCATGCGTCGACTGCACGGCGATGGCATTGAAAAGGGAAATTAAAGATTATCCAAATGTTTTTTTTTGTGCATTTCGGGCAAAGAAACTCGCCATGGTCGCGCATTCGGCGCTCACTGTCCAGGATAGTGATTCATTAATTCATTTTTGAAGTGGCAAATGCATATGAGAATTATATGCCTGTCGGAATATGTGCAATGAGGGGACGAACCGATATTTTTATCGAATAATTACTCTGATTGTATTTTGTGGGCCCAACTTCAAATCTCTTTATGATCTGGCGTGAGGGGGCACATTTCAAAGTCGGATTTACACTTAGCAATCGAACAGGCACTTCTGCTAGAAGTTTGAACTTACTTCACTTCTCTCTTTCACTGGATCAGAGATTCTGGAAAATTCGCCTTTTGCATGAAACAGTGCCCTCAGGGGATTAACCTATAGGTGAATATATTTACTAAAATGAGTACTCGGAGAACTACTTGCCTACCAGATGCAGCCCTATCTGTTTCCGCTTTTCCCTGGTGCAAAAATCCATTTGGAAACGCCGCCTCAGCCCAAAGCTAATGCACCACAAAAGTTGAATTTTTCTGTTTTCAACGTCACCCTAGTTATGCAGGAGCCAAGTTTCACCTTTCTATTTCGGTCGGATTCGCTAGGAGAAAAAATTACTTGATAATGCCAGCCTCATGAAATTTGCCCCTAGTGGCTTGGGCACGCCCACGCCAAGTTTTAGCTTTCCATGTCTCTCCGTTTGGCGTTGCAATTATATAAATTAGAACAATTTCCCCCCAAAATGTGTGGGCATGTACCTCCAAAGTCGGATTTTTTTAAAACTCTACATCCCAATAACTAATTGTGTACCAAGTTTCATATTGCTAACTTCTGTAGAACATGGTTAGAATTACATCCTTCACTCATTCAATCACAATCGGTTATACAGTCGTGGCCAAAAGTTTAAGACCACCCCTCGAATTTTAGTTTGAGGGAAGAAGTCGCATATTCACTCGGAATTAATCTTCACGAACGGATTTATTGTTTGAACAATCCAACATCAAGGGCTTTTACACTATAAGCACATTTGATTTTTTTTTTTACAGAATTCTCAGAAAAGTCAATATTTAATATGTCCTCCATTACATTTAATAACCTGCTCCAAACGTCTCGGCATGCTTTCCACAAGACTTCGGCAATATTCAACTGAGATTTCGTGTACCCAAATATCTTTGAATGCTGTTTCCAGTTCTTTGGCACTACTTGGCTGTTTATCTGCAACTTTGTCCTTGAGAACGACCCAGAGATTCTCTATGGGGTTTAAATCAGACTGTTCCCAGGCCAGTCAAGGACTTTGATATTCTTCTTCTTCAAGAACTCAGTCACAATCTTTGATCGATGGCAAGGCGCACCATCCTGCATGAACATCTTGCACTTATGTACGGCCATGTGCAGCTCCAACTTGTCTTTCAGTAAATCAACGTACTTTTGGCCGTTCATGGTCGTCCCGGTTGGTAAGAAAAAGAGTCCAGCCGTTCCGTTGAGCGACATGGCGCCCCATATCATGACACTCGGCGGGTGTTTCATCGTTTGTACGTGTACCGTTCATCAAATATTTCTCCAGTCGGCCTCCGGACGTAGCGCTTGCGTGCGGCGAACTGCTGGATGGTAGATTCGTCCGAAAATAACACTGGGTTCCACTGTTCAGCAGTCCAATTCACGTGTCTTTTTCGCAAAGGCCAGGCATTTGATCTTCATAGCCGGTGTGAGGCGTGGTTTTTTCGCCGGTTTGCACGATTTCAAGCCAAATTCTTTGATCAAACGTCCACTCACGGTTCTGCGACTTACATCCGTACTTTTTGCGAGATGTGCTGACCGTATCTTGCTCGAGGAACTCATTGGAGACCGAACAGCTATCCTCCTTATGGAGTGGTCGTCCCTCGGTATGGTCTTTCGTGGACTCCCAGACCGCTTTCTGTCCGAAAAAGTCCCCGAATTCGCAAATTTCACTACTGCATTGTGAACGGCAGTCTTACTACACTTTAACTTCTCACTAATCGCTCGTTCAGAATATCCTTCCTGGTGAAGAACCACAATGTGTGCCCTCTGGACTTCCGTGAGTGACGCTTTTTTTTAAACCCATTTTCGTGGGTTTTTAGAAAAAGCAAAACACAGCGAAATGCGGCGTAATGAAGTGTTTACTGCGTGATGGTTAATTGAAAAGTGACTACAATAGGCCGCCGTAAGGATGACGCAATCTCATGCAATTAATTTCATTTCTGATGCAATCACTGCGTTCAGAAGAAACAAGTACATTTTCTCAAGGGTGGTCTTAAACTTATGGCCACGACTGTATATACTGCATAGATGACCTCTTAGATGTCTGCTGTGCTTTTTGCGCTAATTTTTAATCTGTCTTCATTTGATTAGACACTCTTGCCGTCTTAAAATGTTTCCAATGTTTTTATTTATCATTGGAAATTATTGTTATTGCATGTTCTAATTACGAGGCTAAACATTTTCAGTTTTCAATGTCAATCATGAAAGTATTTGGTCCCATATATCCTTGTGAAATGAAAAGAAAGTTTCCTTGGCTGCACTGCAGGAAGCTGGAATTCATTGCATGTTAATCTGCTCCCGATTCTGTAAATCTTAAGGCAAGAAACAATTTATTTTTACTACTTCCAGGTGTCTCAGATATTTATGCAAGAATTTAGTTTGCTGAACTTCGATTCGGACATCGCTCTCATGAAACTAAGCGTTCCGGCGACTCTCACCTCACAAGTACAGTTAGTTTGTCTCCCGACCCGGTTCGACGACTCGAAGCTCGAGAACGGAACGAGAGGATGGGTGAGACATCTTTTTTCCACTGCATTAACAGGATGGCTCTCTCTTGCAATGAGGATGTTTGCCTCGAGTCGGGCTATTTTTATTGAAGCCAGTCTGTATGACCAGGTTATTTTCATGGTGAAAATTGCTTGCCTCTGATGTTTGGTGGCAGGTGGCTGGCTGGGGTCTGAATAGCTTTGATCAGCGAGACTCTACGTTAACCCAAGTGGAACTCCCGGTGATATTAAACAAAGATTGCAGTCGGGAAATAATCAGTGCGACTGGAGACCGCTCAGTGACACTCAACTCGAACATGTTCTGTGCCGGGCATGATAAGGGCACTACTGCAGAAGGTGAGATACCATCCTGCTCCCGCAGGATTACTATTCAAAGTTGCTCCGGATCATGTGCTGATCGACTTTATCGATAAATGTATTATCTTTTGCTGTTCATAATATGTAATGCTTGAGATACGCTGGCGATCTTTTTCTATTGCGACGGCAAAACTTTCGGGAAAATGACTACCTATTATGGCATTACAGCAATATAAAGTCTCACTTGTACTTGAGCTTTTTCCTTTGTATAAGAAGAGTTTTTCCTATCTAGTTCAAGCCGGAGAACCTCGGTTGCTTCGCAACCGAGATCCGCAGATGCTTTTTGGCTGGTGCGATTCTGGCCGCTAGCTAGGCCGAGCGACGATTGTTATTTTTCGTTTCTTTGTATGTTCCACAGGCCACATATTGCCAGCTCCACAGGCCAAAGGCTTAGAGATATGAACTTAGACTTTCGATAGAGCTCTTCCTTACCATCCGAGGATGTGCCTTTTCGAAATGAAATTCGCAAATCAGCCATACGATAGGGAGGCAATATTCACTGAATTCATATTCAGTGAATTTAGTGAATTCATATCAGGCAATATTCACTGTTCATCTTTCGGATGGACTTGGAAATGAGAGTTGCCGTGGTTCTCGAAAGGGAACGCTGGCATCGCTGACTGCAGTGCCTCCCGCCTGCTGACATGAATCCAAAGATTTCAAGTGTCCATGATGAAACACGGGGCGATTCCTCAGGTCGTCGCCACATGCGTTCACACGGGCTTTCGGAAAGAAACCCATCGCCCAAATTTCCTCTTTTCATTCCATGGCTCTAAATGCAGATTTGCAGAATTGCACGAACACAAGAAGGTCGACGAGAGTGAGAGCTTTTCAATGGGAAGGATTGATCTCCCATATTGCACCCGCACAGGTAAATGGAAAAACAAACAGGTGTACTGTTTGGGAGCCGGGATCTTGCAAGAAAAAAACAACAATTATTTGCGGATCGTCCCTCTGTTGTGCTACATGATACTTTCTTTTTTTTCGCCTACATTAGCATTCACTTCCCTCGCTCCGTTCACATGATCCGGTAGCGAGGAAAAGCACGGGTCCAATGAAACCTGTGGGCTTCATGCATGTGACATTGCCCAAGTAGTACATAAACGCTTTCGAAGACGCTCAACCTGTTTTCAAAAGGTCTTTGACCTTCATATGTGCAATAATGTGCACCTTTTAGGCGCTTAGATCAGGTGCCTTTTCCGCACGAAACATGTAGCATTTTAAAAACATTTGCCGAGCGTTTACGATGCTCTCCTAACTCACATCAATGGTGTCCATCTGCCAACGACTTGAAGCAAAGGCTCACGCCATCGACGGTAGATGGCACCAAGGTAGTCCTTAAAAAGTGTTATTTCCTGATATGTCTGGATTTATTTCCCTCATACATTCCACAAGTAGCCCATCTCTCCCCACATAAACCAGAAAGGAAATATTTGGAATTCCTGAAGAATCGATCTTTAGAGGTAACCCAGTCCAAGGAGTCTACAGAGAACTCTCACTCGAAAGATAGATTGAGGAGGATTTTCCCGCTCGATTAAAAAATGCGGCTCGACGACCACATCCGTCATTGCTTATTTCTCCAGTTCGATGAGGGGCGCAACGCGAACGACGCGGTCCCTCGCATAAAGAAGGTGTACCCCGATGCCTGTTTAAGCAAATCCACGGCATACGAACGGTTTGAGAATTTTTCACGCGGAGATTGAACTCTTCAAGATGAACTCCGTTTTGGACACCCATCCGTCTTCGATGACGATGCGCTGAAGTCCATGATCGATGATGATCCCCACCAAACCACGTCTGAATCGGCGAGCAAACTCGGCTGCGACCTTACAACCGTGTCCAATCACCTTCATAGCATGAGAAAGGTGGGCAAACTGGACAAATGGGTCCCTCACAAGTTGTCCGAAACCGAGAAGATTCAATGAGCGGCCATTTGCGCATCTTTGCTGTCGCGTCGCAAGGAAGACCCGATGTTTGGCCGGATCATCACGTCAGATGAGAAGTGGGTTCTGTGGAGCAACCAACGGAGATCATACTCTTGGCTGGACCCTGATGAACCCCTGAGAAAAATGCCGAAACCCGACTAACACCAAAAAAGGACCTTTTGTGCATTTGATCGGCCCGATTCGGCGTAGTGCACTACGAGCTCAAGAAGACCGGCCAGTTCATCAACGCGGACATCCACTGCGCACAACTACAGCGTGTCCGTGAAGTCTTGCTTAAATCTCGGGCCGAATTGGTCAATCGACAAAGGTCCTCTTCTTGGACGACAACTTCATGTGCAAGAAACAGTTCCCGAACGAAGGTGCACTCAAAAACCGACTTTATGGATTCTTTGGTTCATGGGATGCGGAGTTTTGTGAGAGAGGAATCGATTCCCTTAAGGCAAGATGCGAAAAAGTTCTAGATTGTGAGGGCGATTATTTTGATTGATAAAGTTCGTTGTATAAAAAGTTACAGCGTTTCAAAGATATGGGTCGAAAAGTTCCGGATACTTTTTATCAGACCTATTGATCATTTCAGCATGTGGCTCACACGCCAATTGTTTCTGTAAAGTTTTAGGCATCTAGTGACAATTTTTTATGTCCACCAGTCATATTTGTCTTCATTAGCAACAGTAATCAGCCAAGCTACCTCAGCACGAAATCATATTAACATGCCTTGAATAGGGGGAAAAAATAGTTCATATGGAATGATTCAGCTAATAAATGCAGTTCAATTTTATGATGTTCATGCAGTACGGTTACAGCTAATTGGTGCGGTTTAAGAACCGTAAGGCCTTTCCTGAAAATCGGCAAGACTTTTCCAATCAGCTGTACCTCAAAATTCTGTTCCATCCCAAATCCCTTCGAATGACGGCGAGAAATCGGGATTGTTGCACAGAATACCAAACAGTGTGCCCCGGGGACTCGGGCAGTCCCATGGTCTTCCCATCACATCCATCACAGGAGAGCCGCTGGTCTGTGGAAGGTATCGTCAGCCACTTCTTCAGCAAGGAGGAATGCTCAACCAGGCACCCCGGGCAGTACAGTGTTTTTACCAGAGTCAATCGGTACTTGCTTCCCTTCTCGTCTTTCTTCATGCTCATTCAGAAAGTTACTTTCAATTTTTTTTCTCTGAATCATCAGGTTCGTTCCGTGGATCGAAGAGACAATATGGAAGAACACCCGATGAAGACATCCGATTGTCCTCCTCGTTGATGAATCAAGCCATTCCTCCCTCTTCGTTTACAAATTGCTGATCTCCACTATGCAATTTGTTGTCGGTTTTAAAGGCCCTATTGGCGTCATGAGCAACCCACAAGGTGCTCACATCTGATCAAAATGTTCACAACATGTCTACAACTGTTTAGCATTTCTTGTGACAAAATCTCAGCTAAATCAAATACACCAATTACGAGCCATGAACTTCAATATGGCCCCATCGATTTGAAGCACTTTTCCCAATCGTTCGCGGTATTCAAGCAGCATTTTCTCGCGCATTTCAACGGTAATGTCTACAAACGCAGCGGTAATTCGTTCCTTCAGTTCGGGAATTTCCCTCGGTTTGGTCGAGTAGACTTTCGACTTGACAAAACCATATATGAAGAAGTCACACGGGGTCATGTCCGGCCGGCCCCACCTCATTACGGCAAAGAAGTTCGTGCCTGGCTGAAAAAAGTTTCCATATCGAAGGATGGGTCGCGGATAGCCGGCTATGCGCTGGCCGGCCAATTCTCCTGACAATTCTCCTGACTTAAAAAACAAACTCCCTATGGTCGCGCCTTCGACGCTCCATTACCTTTGATGGTAATTGATTCATTTATTCTTTGGGAAATGGCAGAAACATATATAAAGTGCGTCCCATTGAAATACGCGACACACGGGGATAAAAGTCTCGATTTTTATCAAAATCATTGGTTCTATGATTTCCAGTGTCCCTAACTTGAAATATTTTAATGTGTCTCGTTTTGTAAGGGTGGAGAATACATTTTGCAATACTTCCTACTAATAATCTACGCTAATGGGGCATAGTTCTAAAGTAAGATTTTCCTGTACTCAGCCATCAAATAGGTACTTCTGAGAGTAGTTTATATTTTGTCTCTGTTTCGTTGGATCACAAAATATTTAGGAAAATGGGACTAAAAAAATTGCACTCCTGGTTGCCAATAATTTTTTGTTCTTCTGAAATGTAGCCTCGGGGAACTCCATGCCACCCAGTTTCAGCCTCATATGTTTTCCCTTTTTGCTGGCGGTAAAAAAATGTATTTGGAAAAGCGACCCACTCAAAAGCTGTGCTCTGGGGAGACGCAGAAGAAAAGTTGAATTTTTACTCAACAACTTCCGTTATACGTGCGCCAACTACTTTTTTATTTCTGCCCGATTCAGTAGGATATGAAAAATTCTTTGAAAACGTTACGTCCCCAAGAAATATGAACCCCTAAAATCGATTGGAGACTTGACGTTTGACATTTTAGATCAGTGCGTCAACGGTAACGTTCTTGCCAAGTTTGAGCTTTCCATGTGTTCTTGTTTGATTGAAGCAAAGAGAACTCTTTGAAAATATGTTCCCCGAAAAGGTGTGCCCATATGGCATGTATCACCAAAGTAGAATTTTTCCTGAACTCAGCATGCGAATAGCTACTTATGTCAGTCTGCTACTCACGGCGATACATAATAAAAGTAGAATTTTTTCTCTCAGCCATCCATTAAATACTTCTTTGCCAAGTTTAAACTTCATTGAGCCCTTTGTTTTGCTGGATAAGAACATTTGGGAAAATATGTAATTTGCAAAATGTGTACCCTGTGCCGTTTTAATCGATAATTCCCTTCCTTTTTTATATAGAAATCCATCCTCAGTGAACTACATGAACACAAAGTTTCATTATTATATTGGGTTGGCTAATAAGTATTTGCGTTTTTTCTCGATCAACATTATTTTTATTTTCATTAATTCTGAGATACCTTCAGTCAATATTATATGCCCCATCACCATCCACAATCTGTCTCCATCTCATTGGCAGCGCGTGGATCCCATCCCTGTAGAAGCGGGCAGGCTGCGAAGAACTCGCGGATGTCAGTCTCGAGTGCCTATCGATCGTCATAGCTCTTCCCATCCAAATGATGCTGCAGGGCACGGAAGAGATGATAGTCGGAAGGAGCTATGTCAGGGGAATACGGAGGATGGGGGAGCAGCTCCCATCCCAACTCGATCAGCGTTTGGCGTGTCACTTTTGCCGTGTGTGGTCGTGTGTTGTCGTGCAACATGTAGACTTTGTCGAGCCCTGGACGTCTGAGATCGAGAGCGGACATGAGTCCTTCCAGTTGGAG